CGTTCAGGAGGATGCTGAAACCCATCAGGAGTGTTTCTGCTGCAGCAGGTTTTATGTTGAACAAACACAGCTGAAGAGCATCTGTTGCAGTAAATATATACATATATATTATATATATAATGTATATTATTTGCTTTGTTCGCGATATTTGGTGCCCAAGATCAAATATATTTATTATTATATTATTTGATTTTTATTTTATACGACTTTTTTATTCTAATACGTTTCCTTTATATGTTTCTTTTGATAATAATAGTACCGAAATGTACACGTATTATTATTTATTATTAAAAACCTTCCAGATTTAGGTCTATAAGATCAAACTTGCAAGCTGATTTATTTCTTTTTTTTAATCATTAGGCCTATCTTATGATATTATGGGCCATTTCTTTTAAATATACATTTCTTCCTCAATGTCTTATACCAAATATTTTCTAATTAAAATAAATTAAATATAATAAACCTCTCTGGACGTATTTGTGGCACCTCCACCTGCAGGTACGAACACCTCCACGTATTTATGTGTTTATTATTAATCTGATTTCGGTGTCTTTCCGTCCCACGCATGCTGAACGTGCAGGGAGCTGCTCTGCCCTCCTAATGACAGATGATGAGTTTTTAGCATTGCTCAGTGAGCTGGCCCCGGGGGCCATTTGTCACAGGCTGTCCAGAAACAAGCCAAGCATGGAAATGAATTTGTTCATTCACATAAAACAGCCCGCAAGAGCGGCAGCCTGCTTAACATGCACCCCGGTAACAACAACTGCACCCGACCATTACGAGCTTCACAACATATAGGATACATACAGGGTTCGCCCTGCACAGATCAGGACGTGCTGGCCGCAAAAGATTCACTTTTCTACCCCAATCTGCTGATTTCCCCCCAAAATCACCGAGAAACAGACTTCTGATCGGTCTTTAAACTTCACACGATCCAATAGTTTTTCTTTGTAAAGCTTAAATATATATATTTTTTTAATTGCATGCCAAATTTAACATGCACAGGTAACTTAGCAGCACATGCAGCAGTGTTCTCCATGCAGCTGTATGAAACGTGTCCCCACCTTTGTAGTTTTAAGGAATACATTTTCGCATTCTTCTCGTGGATCAGTTGAGATTTCTCCGAATTTGCAGCGTTATTATCCATTTATTCAGCCTTTATTCAGCCTTTATTCAGCCTTTATTCAGCCTGCAGTGAGTCGCTGTCCCCTCTGAGAGAAACAAAAAGAAGTAAAGGTGATGGGTTCTTCTCTTTTTTTTGGATGCTGCAGGAGTTTGCCGACAGGTCCTGGTCCCAGATCTTCACTCGACGCGTGGGAAAGTCAGCCGAGACCTCATTTCTGTGAGCAGAGAGACTTCAGAACAAACGGATAAATTCCTTCATTGCGGTGTGTGTGGAGATGCGGGAGGAGGAAACCACATGCGGGAGGGAGGTTTTTTAATTGGGCTGGAGTTTGTAGGCTCGAACATGCGGCTGCAGCAGCGATAATGAGGCACAGCGCACTCACACACACTGCAGCTGCAGTTAGTGGACAGAGCAGAGAGGCTGTACCACACAGCACACAGCCGGACCTCCGGTGGCTCAGTCCTAATGGGGACGAGCATCAGTGTGAACGGAAATCAATCCACTCACAGAAACACATCAGACGAAGATGTTTTTATCCGCATAAATTACACGGATTAAAAAATGTAGCCGCTGTAAATAAACATATTTAACACATGTTTCTGAGTCAGTTATGAGGATGTGTTGCAGATAAATCAGTGCAGACCTCTATTTTAGATTTTACATAAACTTTTCTTACTTTAATTTGCATGCAGTTTGATATAAAAGCAGATTTATTATTTATTTAGGCTGAAAACATCTGCAGGCTGTATCAGAGCAAAACATAAACGACTATCACTGATTCAGTCTTACAAGAAAAAATATCTATGACATTCACAAAACACACTTTCTCTGTGTCTAAAAATAAAAACCCAGATTCATGCCAATCTTCAAACTAAAATTATAATGTGAATTATGAACATTTCAGTGTCTACAGTGTCTGTAACAGGCCTGAAAAAGATTTATGACAAAGATTAAAAAGATGAAAGCGAAAAGAGATGCATATTTAAGATACCATAGGCCCATTAAAAATACACTGCATGTAAAACTGTGTCAGATTACAGATTCATGGCGTCAATTGGCTTAAAAATGAAGCTTTATTTTAATAATAACATATAAAATGATGCCTCACTGTAGGCCTACTTTGAATTATATAATAAAGACTAGAATTAAACAAGTGAACTATTATATTATTATACTGATTGTGTCCGCAGTTGATTGTTGTTAGAAGACTGTGTGTGCGGCACCGCGCCAATGCTGCATTCAAGTGCCTGTGGGACAAACGTAAATCTGGTCAACCTTAATCAGCTGTGGTTTATTACAACTGTTCAAGTTACATCCCATTTCTCAGCCATGTATTTTCAACCACAAGCAATAAAAAACACTGAGCACTTGTTAATGAGATTATAAAGTTGAATGCCAGGTTACCTTGGCTATATGCAATGTAATTATTGGCTCTATTTTAAATGAACATATTGGGTTATTTCAGTCTAAAAACTAAGTTGGCATAATCTATTTAACTTACATGTTTTTTAGTCTATTACCTGAAATACATTGTTGTCATTATATGGCCTCTAGTTGTGTTTATTTTATGTTGTCTGCTATTTTATTTTGTCTGTATTATTCAGTTTAACATAATTAATTAGTGGGCCTGAATTAATAGTCACAAACAAACATCACCACAGAGAATATTGCACATTTTCTGACAGAAAACAGCCACATTTTTATGTGACAGCTCGGGTGTAATAATAATAACAAAGCAGAGGACTGATCTGATCTCACAATTTCATTTTATTATTTAATTTAACACAACATATACTATATATTCTACACCAGTGGTTCCCAACCTGGGAGTCGAAACAGCTTCACGGGGCGACGCATTCTTAATTTTAAGGTTTGGAGGAAAACTTTTAAAATTGACACAAAAATATGCATTTATAAAAACCAAAGGGCTGAAGAAAACATTGCATTTGTCCAAAAAGAAGCCTGTTAAGTATGTATGAATGTATTGTTACAAATAAAAACATAACACAGACAGAGAATTGTATAAAAAGTTCCTAATGTTACGCAAACTCCCTGCAGTAATTGGGTTCATTTTCACAGTTTATCAGCTGTTTTGTCATTATTAAGCATTGAATATAAAATAAAATGTGTCACTTAGTCAGTTTACTCAATGATAGCAAAAGGGGGTCCCTAAAAAACAAACAAACTATGAACTACGTACGAGTACTTCACGGACCCCAGTGCTCATTCTTCCGATTCACTATAAATACACCACCGGGTTACGTCTCCTGACGTCATGACGCAGCCCAGTGTTTGGTTTCCGCGCCGCGCCGAACAGACGATGGAAACAACGAGCAGCAGCGGGAGCAAAGCGGAGGAGCAGCCGACAGACGGAGGGATGGAGGCGGACAGGTCCATGTCGAGGTCGGACAGGTAGAAAACATGAAACTTAAACGCGAATAAAAAAAGGTGCAATGTCTGCGGCACGCGGCAGGACGCCGTAAGGAAGCCGCGAAGTGACAACCGGCTCATGAGAAGCGAGCTAACGTCAGCTAGCTGGAAAAAAAAAAAAACCCCACGCATTGTGTTGGCGTGGTTTCACAAAAGGACAAAAGAGACGAGGAGAAAACGATTAAATGGCATTAAAACAGAGCCGGAGGCGTTGTGGACAAACCGTTAAACGTTTGTCAGTAGTTAAATAGCTGTTTTCTACCGAGCTGCAGTTGTTTTAACGTTAAGTATCTTTCTCTGACTTCAGCTGCGTTTATAACGGAGGGTTCCATTTAATGCGGGACGTTACACCAAACCCCTGTTAAAATATAACTAATTCTGCTCCTTATCTTGTTAGTTAACATTTATATTTACCGAAACATCATTAAACAGCGTTTCAGTGCGGCCTCTTTAATTCGGCATCATTATCCAACCAACTAATAAACAAAAATAACGACCTTTAATCTGCTTTGCACAAATACAGATCTACAAAGAGAAAGCTGTGTCTGGTTTACAGAGGATCTGATCTTATTGTCTGTCGGCCCTCTTCATCACTTTCCCCTGGTTAACAGAACACGTAGCACCAAGGATGTGCAGGCTGTCAGGTGTCTGCATGAGGACATCCTGTAGCTGTGGAAGTGAAACTCAGATGGGATGTGTGTCATTTTCTCACAAAGTGTTAAAGATGTCCGGTTAATATCAGCTTTTAGAAATGACTGCAGCTACCTGCAGATTTCATTATTGAGGGTTTCTCCATGAGCTTTTCTAAATACGAATAAAGCCAATATTTTACAAAACATCTGCTGCAAAGATTGTTCTACGTCTAATTATTATGAATCCAAAACAGCAGTTTATTATTATTATTATTATTAAAATTAAGTGATCATTGCTTCAAGAGCTTATGTGAAACCGTTGGAGCCGTGTTTATGTTTAGATTAGTTTAGTTTACATACAGACGTTAATAATTACAGTGCGGGAGAGGAAGGAGGTCTGAGAGGTGTGTTCAGGGTCCTCCTTTGTTTTGGGCTAAACAAAAAAAAGGACACAACAAAAGCACAAACAATCTGTACAAAACACACACAAGCAAACACACACAGTAAAACAGTCAGAAAACAGAACACACACACACAGAGACACACACAGACAGACACACACACACAGACACACAGACAGACACACACACAAAGACACACACAGACACACACACAGACACACACAGACA